CGAAGCTGGTTTGCGCTCTGCCGGATGCGCTTTTATGCTTTCTGGTGCTTACGTCACCCTGCTCGTGACGTCTCGCTGCTCCATTGGACGGATTTGACACGTGCTTCAGAACGCGGTCACGCAAGGGCGTTCCCAAAGCGATCTCGACGCAGCGTCTCGTTCCCTCGGGGAACCATGGTTACATACGTAACCTAGAGACGTATTCCAGATATGGTCCGCAGATAATTTGACTCAATGTGGTGACTAAAAAAAAATAAAAAATTAAATCCATCAGAAGTAGCCTACATCCAAGACACAACGGACTTCAAATTTGGAAAAATTCCTGTGACTATATCATATTATATATTGTACCTTTTATATAATGTAATAAAGAAATTAATACTTTTATTCAACAATGATTAAGACGTTTAATGTCTTTGGTTACAAAATGTTTATAAATGCTCTTCTTTTAATGTTCTATTCATCAAAGAATTCTGGAAAAAAAATTTTAGTTTCCACAAAAATATTAACTGTTTTCAAGGTGAATAGTAATAAGAAATGTTTCTTGGCACCAAATAAGAAAGAAAGAAAGAAAGAAAGAAAGAAAGAATATTTTAAATATTTTAATAGGCCTATTGATTTTGAAGGTTATGTCTATTAATTTATTCGGATTATATAGTAGTAACAATTGTTAAAGACACAATAGGCACACTTACTCATAAATGATAGACACGGGTGTTTCAAATAGACTACACCTACAGGCAGGGCCGTTTCTAGCCAATTTGACGCCCTAGGCGAAATCCCTATTGAGATCCAGTGGGCGCGGCAGTCATATTTCAGGGTGACCAGGGTGACACTCTTTATCACAACCCTGCTAAAAGTGCCAGTGCGCTCATTGGCGCCCCTTCAGCTGGTGGCGCCCTAGGCGACCGCCTAGCTCGCCTATGCCTAGAAACGGCCCTGCCTACAGGTCTCACCTTCTGAGAATTACTAAATCCTGCCGTGACACGTAAGAGGCGCCCGTGTTCTCAACCACACTTAACACAGAGGGAAACTTTATAGTCTTGGGGAAACATAAACCACGGCTAATCCACCATGGCACTTTAACATTCTAATTGAACGCCTGACACCATATTTTGATTTCGAAATAAAGGTGTCATGTATTATTTACAAAAAGTATCGCGCACGCAACCACTTATGTAATAGGCAGCGTAATATACAGGAGATATACAGTAGAGGACTCGCCTTCTTCAACGAGCTGATTGGCTGGAGAACCTGTCAATCTACAGTGGCTTTCTCGCCAGCACTAGCAAACTCGGTTGCGGTATGAAGTTTCTAAAATGACACTTGGGGATATTTTTGTGAGTACGATGTCGCTGTTTTTGTCTAGAAAGGTGAGTATTATTCAGATTCAGATCAATAACTGGGAAAGTTATGAAAAAAAAACGTTTTTTTTAACTGAGCTGATAGTATAAAATTATCTTAACGTTACGAGTGTCGGCTAACTTAATGTAACCTTTATAAGTGTTTACTGTACACATACTCAATTTTTATTCTTAACAAATGTAAGGTATATTTTGTTGAGTTTTGCCTTATGTTTTGTCCAGTTTGGTTGTGCAGATCTTTTGAGTCATTTCACGTAACGGTGTTCTGGGCTGATCCGCTGTTGTTTCAGCTACAGACAATCACTTTCCAGCTCTGGTGTTTTCTGAGGTAGCAAGTCTCCACAGTGTCACCAGTAGATGTATACTAATGAACAATGATGCATGGACGGTTGCGTGTTGTTTACATTCTGCAGTAGGCTATGTTTCTTACTGTAGTTACAAAGTCTATTACAATAAAGTTGATATCTACCTGCTATTAGACTGTAATCTGCTGACTGCAGATTAGAATGCTGTTTCCCTGCAAGAGTTATTCAAGCAGTGTGCTGGAGTTTTTTTTTTTTTTTTGTAATTATGGGCACTTTTGGTCCTGTAAAAACTAAATTATTTTAAAAGACAAGTTTCACACCCTAAATCAGTTATTTATTTTGGTTATCAATTTCTAACAATGTATATTATGCAGCACAGGAGAACATGTTTCTGACAGTCATGAACATTCCCACAATGTAATTTTCAATAAATCTTAAATTGTGTTTAATAGCATTTTTATTGGAAATAATAACACATTTTAAACATTGATAAAATGCAGCTCCTTTATCTTTATAAGGCTAATTTTATAGCTAGCATTTTATGTATCATAAATATACACAATTAAATAATATTTTTACATAATTTGACATAATTACTGCTTGATTGCAAATGGTGTGCAGTGAAAGTATTCTTACCCCCCTCAAGTTCTGGGACAAGGGTAAAATGTTACAATACATTTAAAAAGTATGGAAATATAATTCATGAAGGTATGGATTATGTTTCCAGTAAAGTTTGAATGTGATCTTCATAGAACAAACAAACAAACAATAAATAAATAAACAAGCAAAATAAATAAATACATTTATGAATGAATGAATGAATGAATGAATGAGGTATTTATATAGCCCTTTATTGTGTATTGCTGTACACCCAAAACGCTGTACAATCATCATGAGGGGGGTCACTCCTCAACCACCACCAGTGTGCAGCATCCTCCTGGATGATGCGACGGCAGCCACATTACAATGGTGCCAGTGCACTCACCACACACCAGAGGAGAGATAGAGCCAATTCAGTAGAAGGGGATCATTAATAGGAGGCCATGATTGACCAGGGCCAGTGGAGGGAATTGGGCCAGGACACCTGAGATACACCCCTACTCTTTTACGAAAAGTGCCATGGGATTTTTAGTTTATAATTTAGTTTACAATTTCGTTTTTTAGTTTATTATTTATTTACAATATAAACCAACTCCTAAATAATAAAAGTGCTCAAAGTTGATGAACACTACCATTCAAAAGTTTAGGGATTTTATTATTGTTATTATTATTATTATTATTTATTTATTATTATTATTTTATTTAAATATTTTATAAATCTTTATTTTATGCTGCATTTTTTTCTTATAAAAAACAATAATACTGTGAAACATTACAGTTTTATTGTTACAACTGTTACACTAATTTCATATATTTTATTTTTGTCATTTATTTCTGTTACGGCTAAGCTGATTTTTTTTTTTAGCAGCCATTGCTCCAGTCGTCAGTGTCACATGATCCTTCAGAAACCATTCTAATATGATGAAACATTTTTTTTGGGGTTGTCAATGTTAAAAAACAGTTGTGCTCTATTATTATTATAATTTTTTTTTTGTGTGTGTGTGTTAATCATGATAAATTTTTTTGATGAATAGAAAGTTCAAAAGAACAGCATTTGAAATAGCAATGTTTTGTGACATTGTAAATTACAGTCAAATTTTAATTAATCTTTGCTGAATAAAAGTTTTAATTCATTTAAATGCAAAAAAAAAAAATACTGACCCCCAAACTTTTGAACATTAGTGTTCAACTGAACTGAACTGGCCTTACTACTTATTCTTCTAGATATTGGTCTAGTTGCAGTGATGAGGCGAGGAGATCCTCTCCCTCGAGCCTTTCAGGCTCCAGTGGATGTACATGTCAGTGCAGATGGCCAAGTGTACATGTTCGGACACAGACAAGAAGAACCAGAAGTGTCATCTGAGGATGAGGAACTCAATGTCATTGAGCTCCGGCCGCGAAGCAGAGAGTCGTCTTCACAGGAGAGAGAAAGAGTGGGAGAAATGCTCTTGTTGGAACGTGACATCTCACATGAGGACAATCTCAACAAACTGGCCCTTCAATATGGATGCAAGGTATCTTGTTTGATTGCGTAGATCATTCTCATTTAGGCCCTTAAAGGAATAGTTCACCCAAAAATGAAAATTTGATGCAAATGTATTCACCCTCAGGCCATCCAAGATATAGATGAGTTTGTTTCTTCATCAGAACAGATTTGGAGAAATTTAGCATAACATCATTTGCTTACCAGTGTATCCTTTGCAGAGAATGGATGCCATTAGAAAGAGAGTCCAAACAGCTGATGAAAACATCAGTAATCCACAAGTAGTTGACATGACTCCACTCCAGTCCATCAATTAATGTCTTGTGAAGTGAAAAGCCATCATTAAGGTGTTTTTAACTTCAAACCATTTCTTCCGGCTAACATACAAGTCCTCTCTCCATAATATTGCTTTCTCCAGTGAAAAAAATCATCTTGTCTGAATCAGGAGAGAAATATGTCAAGCACCGTTTACAAGCAAAAACAGTTCATAACAGTTATAAACAAATATATCGGTGGATTTTGACTTGAAAGCACTACAGGGGATGGACTTTTTCATTGGGGGAAATGTTATTATGGATTATAGATTATAGATATTTTGGCTAGAAATATATATGGCGCTGTTGGGCCAGTTGTGGACTAATGGTTAGAGAGTCGGGCTTGTAACCTGAAGGTCACGGGTTTGATTCTCAGTCCCGGCAGGAACCTAAAATAAAACAACCGTTAACCTTCGATACCTACAACTGAAGTGCCCTTGAGCAAGGCAAACCCCAATTGCTCACTGGGCACGTTGTGTGTTCACTTCTCACTGCTGTGTGTGTGTGCACTTGGATGGGTTAAATGCAGAGCACAAATTCTGAGTATGGGACACCATACCTGGCTAGTCGTCATGTCTTTGAATCACTTTGAAACTTGTGGATTATTGTTATGTTTTTATTAGCAGTTTGGACTCTTATTCTGATGGCACCCATTCACTGCAGAGTGATGTAATGCAAAATTTCTCCAAATCTGTCCAGATGAAGAAACAAACTCATCTACATCTTGGATGGCCTGAGGATGAGTACACTTGCTGCAAATTTTCATTTTTGGGGTGAATTTTCCTTTAAAAATAATCATTTTCTATGGCTTCCAGGTGGCTGACATAAAAAGGGTGAACAACCTTTTTCAAGAGCAGGACATGTATGCACTGAAATCAATCAGAATCCCTGTAAAGAAGCATGGCTTGCTAACCGAGGCCAACTCTGAGCTCAGGAACCCCCAGCAAAGACCCTGCAATGATGTAGCATCATCAAACAGTGCTGAAGCAAACGTCTCGGGAAGACCTCAGGTTCAGGAGTACACCAATTACCTAAAAGAGGTGGACAGTGACATTGAGCGTCTGATACAAAGCACAGACCCCTCAGAAGAGGTATTTTCCAGCGGTTCCAGGGTATCCAAACGATGGGGGTGGAGAAGCCAGCGTTTGCGCAGCTATGGTGCAGATTGGGGGATCCAGTGGTGGAACGCTGTAATTGTAATGTTACTCATTGGCATTGTCCTGCCAGTATTCTATGTGGTATATTTTAAAACTCAAGATAATGGAGGATCAGTAGTGGACAATATAGTGGGCAACATCACGGGCAACTTCAATACCTCAAAGAGTACGGGGTGAGGGTCAGCATGGGAATATCAAAAAGTAAGTATCACATTTGAAAATTTGAAATTTGGTTTCATTCCTACAATTTTCTTTGGTAATTTGCAGATAAACTTTGTATTACAAGTTCATATTATTATGGTACATTCATTGAAGTGAATAGATCACCCAAAATAGAAAAGGTAACATTTGGGTTCAAAAGACTTGGAGTATGACACACCCAATCCCAAATTATTTTGCATGAAAAAAACGTCTCAAGTTACCCATGTAACCATGGTTCCCTGAGAAGGGGAACGAGACACTGCGTCCCCTAGAGGACACTTTGGGGAACGCCCTCAGCGTGACCGGTGTCTGAAGTGCATGTGGAAACATGACAATGAACTAGGGCTGTGCGATTAATCGAAATCGTCATAAAATCGCGATTTGAGCTTGCGCGATTTCTAAATCGCTTTATAGCACGATCTTCCGCGCCCCGACCTCCCGCAGTATGCTATCTGAACCAATCAGAATGCAGCGCGCCTAAATGGAGCACGAGAACAGAACAGACCAGGCGGGCATACAAACGTAACGCCAGGTTCACACACTCCGTCTGTGGTGCGTATTTTTTCCGCGTCCATGTTAACGGATCAGAGCGTTCACACTGCACGCGATTGCGGTCCGGCAGTGCGCTCCAGGAGCGGTGCGTCTGCAGCAGTCATGCTGCGATCGTTTCCGCACGGAGTCTATAGGTGCGACCAAGAGTATAAAAGGGCACCTGTAGCACACGTCATCAGCTTCTTGTCTGAAGGAGACGTGCACAGGAATGCCTGAAGCATGGCAAGGGGACGCAGTGTCTCGTTCCCCTTCTCAGGGAACCATGGTTACATGGGTAACCTGAGACGTTCCCTATCGAATGGGAACGCGCACTGCGTCCCCTAGAGGACACTTTGGGGAACGAATACCCACGCCGCCATGCTGAAGAAATGAGTGCCTTATCGGCAGGCATAAGCCAGGAACTCTAAGAAGTCATCTTCTGTAAACAGAGCTAAGCGGAAGCGCAGCTGTTTCAATGTGAAACGATCACAGTGGGCACAGCCGGCTCCCTCGAGAGCCGACCGTGCATGCTGTGCCCCCAGACACACCTCACATAGCTCATGAGAATCGCTAGGTGTGATGTACCTTTCACATGGTGGGACACATCTTTTAAAACTGCGCTCACTCATGCTTTACCTTTCTTCTTTTCTTTTTTTTTTTTCTCTCAAAACGTTCTGTCACACAAGCACACACAAACAAACAGCTGAAGACAAGAAGCTGATGACGTGTGCTACAGGTGCCCTTTTATACTCTTGGTCGCACCAGTAACACGTCATAGGCCAATGACAGCAGTAACACGTCATAGGCCAATGACAAGTTCATTGTCGTGTTTCCACATGCACTTCAGACACCGGTCACGCTGAGGGCGTTCCCCAAAGTGTCCTCTAGGGGTCGCAGTGCGATTTCCCATTCGATAGGGAACCCACATTATTCAAAATTTGTGTTCCACAGAAAAAGAAAGTCATATAAATATGGAGAAACATGAGGGAGGGTAAATGATAACATATGTTTTTGGGTGAACTATCGTTTTAATTTCATTTGCATAGTGAAGGTACATAACGAGACAATTTAACAAATTAGATTATGAGTTTGCATTACAAACTGAGTGTTGCATCTGCTTATACTCCACACTCAGACTGCTGAAACTGTTGTTATTGGTTTCATGGGTGCTATTATTTAACTGAATTATGAAATGGTTATAACAATTTTTCTTTGTGGAGAAAAAAAGTCATTATGAAACAGCCTTTCTCATAAAATTGATCATATGTGTTGTGGTCCTGTCTTTGTATATCAATGCTTGGTGAAATTAATGCAATTTTACAGAAAAATGCAAAGAAGGAAACGAAGAAAAAAAAATCAAAAGGTTTGATGTTTTGCAACTTTATACCTGTTTGTCTGAATGGTATTTTGTGTTAACTCACATTTCTATCCATTTCTTTGTTTTGATTTTGCCAGAACACTACTGCCAAATAGTTGTTTCAATGTGCCAGCAGTGCCAAATAATTGACTTGTATTAAATAACTGTTTGTTCAGTCATTTGAAGTGCAATAAATACATATTTCACAGGAAGTGCTAAACTCATGTGCAGATGGACACATTCTGACCTTTGGATATTAAAAGATATCTTTTGAGTTTAGTACTGTTTTTTTGTTTTTTTTTCTTACATATGTGTATTGCATTGGGATGGCCAGTGAGTGAATACATTAAAACTCATTTTCATACAAAAAGAATAGGGAAAAATGTCTGGTATTGGGTTATAATGGTCTGTAATTCAACAGTGCAGCTCTTCAGTAATTGACCAATAAAAACAATTTAAAAGGTTTTCTGCTTTCTGAGTAATGTCCTATGTAGCTGCTCAGGGTCAGGGTTGTAAACAGAGGAAAACCTGGACCCATGTTGATTTTTAATCATTATTCTCTATGAAAAGGCCACATATTTAGGAACTGTGTAATAAAAGCAGTCTTTAATGTTTCATGTAAAGTATCTTTCGGATTTTGAATGTTTAAAGTCTATATAATAGTAAACTCTACAAACCCAATATACCCCTTTGTTTCAGCTTTTCTGTTATCTCTTATCATCGACACCATCTGGCAAAAAGCACTAATGTTGGTGAATTTAGGAAAAGCAGTACAAAGGGCTAATGTAAGTACCATTATTTGCAGAGTTATGACTTTGACCAGTAGGGGTACATATTTACATTTTATTCTGTGGATAATAATGTTGTAGTGAAACAAAAAGTTTTATGAGAGGAATCACAGACCGTTTTTTGTGACAGGTAGGATTCATTTTAGAGCATTACACATTCATTTCTATGGTATTCGTAAATGGTGACGGACTGAAGTAAAACTCTCAACATGATCAGTCAATCAAATACTGTATGTTAATATAAGAATGCACAATACGAACGCTAACAAGCATTGAATCTGCTAACAAGCGCAATATTTGTTTTTTAGTCATTTTTTTTAACTTGAAGTTTTACTTATTTTAGAGAAACTAGCTTTCAAACAAACTTTGTCATTTTTAGAACTTACCTAAAAGGGAATACCAAGAAATTGTCTCTGCCCACAAACTTGCAGCCAATATTCCGTCCTATACCATGCATTTCCAATCTTTTATGCACTCCAATTCCAAGTCTTCATTGTCCTATTTTTTATTATTATTTTTCTTTCAGTTTTAGTTATTGTAGTTATTATAGTACTTCAAGCAAACTAAATGAAAAAGAGAAATGTTGCTTTGGCAACTAGCTGAAATAAAATATGTTCCAGTTGGCAATTGTTTTATTTTTAAGTAACGAACATGTATATTTTTTTATGATTTTAATTGTAGTTAACTATAATAACCATTTGTTTGTTTGTTTTTGGTCTAGATCAATTTCTTGCTCAAATTTGCCTAGTTGAATGGTATGGCAGAGTAATAGGTTATGGATAAAACAAAACTATTTTATTCATATAAATAGAAGACTTCAAGCAGGTGATATCAAATATTAAATGAATACTAAAAATACTGGATTAATATTTTCATTTGTTTAAATGTATAATGTCCATAGTGAAACAGTCAACATGGGTAAGAATTTATTGAGTTAAAAATCTTTAGAGAACTTTAAAGAGAAAAAAAGGTATTGTTAGCGTTTGTTCAACAGCTGCTTAGACTCAGTCCCATGTGATCTAGCAACCTGAAAGCTTTTTTCTCACAGACTCAGCTCACAGAAACATGCGCTGCTGTGATCCTGCTCCAGGCCCCACAGCTTTGGCCCCGTGCCTTCCCTCCGTCTGTGTCTCAGCGAGAGGACCACCCCTTTCTTTGTCTGCAATCCCAAACCGCAGTTATTACGCAAACCTTAACGCTCCCAGAGCAAGTTCTGATGTGATCTGTGTGATAATGCTTTTTGCTTTCTGCATGATCCAAGATTTAGGAACATTATCTCAAATTTTGAATGTTGGTAAGACAGCACACAGACAGACTTGTTAGCACAGATTGGAAAGGCTGAGCACCTCCCTTAGTGTGTATCCAGAGGGTTTTGCAAACTATAAATCTATTAAAAACATGCACACACCTTTAAAAAAAATAAAGGTTCTTTACTGGCATCGATGGTTCCAGGAAGAACCTTTAACATTCATGGAATCTTTCCACACTCTTAAAAACAGAGGTTCTTCATTTGGCATTGATGGCTCCTTGAAGAACCTTTATCATCCATGGAAACCTTCCATTGCACAAAAGGGTCTTTATAGTGGAAAAAGCTTCTTTAGATTATTATAATGTTCTAGAAGAAAAAAGAAAAGCTTCAGAACTGTTTGCTGAATAGTTCTTTGCGAAACTTAAAATGGTTCTTCTATGGAATTGCTGTGAAAACACCTTTTGAAACCATTCTAAATGTCTAGAATATTTGATTATATATATATTCCCTGTTCCCTCCTGGTGGAATGACCTGCCCAAATCATTCCGAGCAGCTGAGTCCTTAACCATCTTCAAGAAACGACTAAAAACACACCTGTTCCACCTTTATTTGACCCTCTAACTCTAGCACTTTCTATTCTATTTTAATTCTACTTTATCTATATTTATCTTCTTTTTTTATTTTTTTATTAAAAGAAGTGCTTTGTTTTCTTAGGCTCAAGCTTGTGTACTTGTGGGACAAATCAGTCAATCTGAAGCATCTGTGCTGAGCAAAAAAAGAGTAAGGATATTCGGGCACTGTGGCTTTAAAGACTTTCCTCACTTGGGCGGTTGGCAGAATGCCATGTGGCCACAAAACAGCCCTAATCCTTTTTCCAAGGAGCTTTCAACACTCATCTTCCTGGCAGTTTTGCCCCAAACTCATTCATCTGCATGTATATATCACCCGGTTTGATGGTTTTATGAACGAAATCCACCAGAGGTCAGTCTAATCCTAAAGTTGCAGAAAAAAAATGAACGCATTCCATGTAGAAGATTGTTATTTACAATACGCCTTACAGGTATTGCTTTCATTTGTCCCTTGAAACTTTCTTGCACATAGCAATTTCAGGCTTAGTTTATGGGAATGCATGGGCATCGGTTGTATAAACATATACACACATACATATGTATTATTTTAAGCACCCAAAGCTCAAGGTGCATATATTGTAGCTTTAATCCAGGTGCTGATTTATTGTAACTTACTATATG